GCTGTTGAATGGAGTGTCAAACTTGTGGCTGAAGCATATAAAAATTTGTGTGACACTGATGCAAGAGATGGTTTGATTAGGACAGCCCTCCCAACAAGTTGTATTATGCCAAAGTTTTCCCAAACAAATTTTATGGTGCACTCTTTGAATAATAAAATTAAAAATGATGAACACATTCACCATTTTAGATAAAAATGAAATACAAAATTATCAGAAATTACAAAATACTGCTATTTTTACAAAAACTGTGTTTTCCGAGTTCTTTGCACAAACAATAAATAATTTGAAGTTACAGGTTTTAAATTTGCTCATGTTTCTCATGCCCTGAAATTTACATTAGTAACAACTACATTTTGATAGTAGTGAATTTAGTAATTGAAACTTATGAAAAAGAGCAAAATTTCACTATTTTTCAAAACTTTGAGTGTGATGAAGCAGTGGAAGACATATTTTTATATGAAAACTTCTTTTCTTTTTCCATATCTAAGCACTAGACAACTTTTCCAGGATATAGCAATGGAAAAATTAAAAAAAGTTTTTTTTTAACCCATCCTAGTATACATACAAACAAATCATTTTTTTATTGCAAATAATTAGCAGCATAATTGAATCAAACAATAGTGTAAGTCAATATTAAAAAAATATGAAATATAATTCAGACTTACAGTATTAAGGGTAGCAAAATATGCTTTTTCTGCAGATCTGTTGAAAAGTGGACTATTATGGCCAGTGAAAGGAGTATACCATATGTAGTCATGGTAGTCATAAGACATCAGATTGATAAAATCAACATATCTATATTAAAAAAAATATAAGAATTATATAAATAAAATTTCAAAACCTTTGTTTACCAAATAAAAGATAAATACAATCTCATCATTTTTACATCAAAGATTGAAAACTAAATGCAGGATTTTTTTAATTACTACATAAATTATATCCACAAAATAAACACACAACGACACAGAGATTTGTATGGAAGAAAAAAGAAAAAAAAAAAAAATGCTGAAAAAAATTAGATTTCTTCTATTGATAGCACATCACGTATTCCCATATGTAAATATTAGTATGAAATGCAACAGGAGATAGGAATGACAACCCTAAAGTTGTGTACAGCTTTATGAAAAGAACAGCTATTTTATAAATTATCATAAATAAAATGATACAGAAATTCATAAAAATGCATGTGGTTTCCAACTTACAATTATACAGAGTTCCATTCCTAGTTGCAAATGACTATGTTCTACCAATATGATCTCAACACAAAAAGTAAACAAACTGAAAAGATATCAGACAAGGGAGATGCACACCTTCAAGCCAATTTTTGCTTTGAAAACATTTCTTCTTGCAGCACAAAATTTTGTTGCTGAGACATTTCAGTGAGTTGATATTAGTAAAGCATAATTTCATTCTGTAGTTTACATAAAAAAAAACTGTCAATATTAATAATATCTTTGTCCTGAGAGAAACATGACCATTCAGCTTTTCAATTCCTCACACAACGCCCATCCCAGTTTAGCATTTATGGCTGTCAAACAACCCTTAAGCTGAATTCCTTCACCAGTCAGTATTTTTCCATAAATATCACTCCCTATAAGGATTTCTATTTCCGGGTGACTCTCACCAACATATGAAATCCAAATTCTGAAGAGTTTGGGAATGAAACTTATGCATTAAAAATCAAACTTTAATAATTTTTAAGTACGACAGAATATTTATTATAGCTAAATGTGGCCCATTAACTAGATAAAACATCTAATTGTAATGAATATAGAGATTAATAATACAAGAGTTCAATTATACATAAAAAAAACCTCATACTATTAGAAAAGACTTTAAATTTCTGAGAAAGAGAAAAACTAGTTACTTACTTTGCCATTTGAGGTATATCATATGCTTTTTCCACAATAACAGTTGGAGCTGCCACTGCTACAGTTAACAATGGAGGTGTTTTCTTAGTTACAAAAGATTTTAAAACTGAGGCTGCTTTAAACTCCTGAAATAATTTGTGCATTTTAAAAAATGTTAGAAAAGTCTAAATGCTACATAAAATAAACAAACACAGATATTTACATAAACATAAGAACGTCAATAATTTTTATTATTAAGTGAAGAAAGTACTTGATTCATAGATTCAATTGGAAAAATATCATACACAGAAATAATTTTAGACATTACCTTAAGAAAGTCAATGAAATTTTCTTTATCCTTTAGGATAAAATCATTCCACACTGGAAATTCCCAATCAACATCAAGTCCATCAAAATTGTACTTTTTCAAAACAGAAAATACTGATGAAATAAACCTGTAAAAGAATGGCAATTACTACATGTCTTAATATGGACTATTTTAAGATGCATTTTGATAACTTTAAATAGCTTTAAAATTTACAAATTAAATAACAGTTCAGAAACATGAATTTTTAAATAAGAAAAATGCATTTAAATATAAAAAATTAACAAAAACAGTCAAAGCTCCGTTGCTACCTGTTATGAATAATTTTATACATCAGAGTATTTTCTATAAACTCACTTTTATTAATCAAGTTTATCATCACTTAGAAATGTTATTAAAAAATCAAATATTAAAATGATCAACTGATAAAGCTAAAACAGCATAAAATTATAAGAATATAATGCCCCTTTCAATTTGTTTTTATTTACCTAGTAGCAATATTTTAAAAGTGAATTATCATATTCAGTAGAACTCAAACATTCTTCAGTATTGGAATTATCCCAGTGATGGTTAAAAAAACAGAGGGCTGAATGTCTGGGATTCTTGTTTCAGTTCATCTCTCACATATTTTTCATTAGATAATAGTTTCCTTAGAAACTATTTGTTAGATTTTATTTGCTCATAGAAATTACTATATGAATATTTGGAATTCACTTTCAACTTTCAGTGTTGACATTAAAAGTTCATTTTATTACTTACAAGTTAATTATATTAAAATTTAAGTCCATTTAATGGTGACATCTGTAAAACTGACCTCTTAATGCATATGAATGTTATTTACAGATGAAAAATACTTTCTAATGGAGTTGATGCACTTAAGAACAAACCTGATTAACCAGAAGGGCAATCACTCTCATTAAAAAAAAACCTGGGTACACTCAAGGATGTAGTTATGGATTTCTGGTTACCCTAGTACCTTTAAAAGTCAGCAGTATTCCTAAAAACAAATATTTAATTGTCAGTATATTATTATTCTCTACGATGACCACTCTCTAATTTCACCAAGACCATCAAATACATTTACTAAGATGGAGGCTAAAATCTCTAATTTTAATGTCAACATAAAACATTTTAAATTCTACACAAATAAAGAAAAACAACTACAGCTTTTTTGTATAGCAAAAACTACAGCAGACAACATACACACCTCTAAAAAAATCTTATATAAAAAAACAGTAATTAAGCATTTTTGTATCATTGATTAGATCCTTGTCTCAAAGCATGGCACAATTTACTACATAGCTGTTGACATAATAATTTTTAAATGCATCACATTCACAATACGTTTTTCATTCATGGTCAGCACAGCTACAATATATCACGAATCGATGTTGAGAAGACTCCAAAAAATATTCAAAATAATTGCCAATTCAAAAAATTAATTGAAAAATTCTATTTTTCATAATTTGTTTATTTTTAGTTTAAATTAAATTCTTTTATGATTAGTTAAACATGTTAGAATTATCTGAATGAAAAGTTAATCTAAGAACTACGTACTTAGCTGTCAATATATTTGAATTACAAAGTGAACCAATAAAAAATCTAGGCTAATCTTTGGAATATGGTAACAGGTGTTTTGGCGACATTTTGGTAAGATGATAAAGGTTACTAGCTAGGACTTTAGCAGTGTACATGGATAAAGTCAAGACTGTGCACAATGCCATTTTTGGGCAATTCTGGGATGTTTTTTTAACTGAAAATAGGTCGAAGGTACAGGTTACCGTGTGTGCAATTTTAAAAACGCGGCAAGCAGTTGCATTCTGCACTTTTCCCAATTTCGCACCTAATTTTCATCATGATAAGCACTTTTGTTTCATAAAAGTTCTAGCATAAGCGAATTCGCTAGCAGATTGTGGAAAAAATTTGAGTAAAAAAAAAAAAAAAACATGCCTTACTCGTGAAAACAAAATGGGTCAACAAACTAGCAGGTTGCGTGCAGGGTTGGTCGACATTTTCGCGAGTTACCATAATCCAAAAATTACCAAAATTTCTATAGAACTGATCTTAAAAATCGCCAAAATGTTGTAAGTAGCAAATTTAACCGTTTAATAAAAGAATTCACATCCCATAAGCGAAAAGTGTTTAGGTTCTTTATTAGAAAAAATTAATTTCGCTATGCTATGTTTCATTCTTGCTAGAAATCGAGTATCCACATTTATAAAATAGAAACAAATCATAAACCCATGACCCATTCAAAAGATAACCATATACGTCAGTGAATCGCCAAAAATATTCCTCCAAAATGCTAATTCACACTCAAAATGGCAATCGTAAAAACAGACAGAAATTTCAGATGATTAAAATTAAGGACTTTCTGCTGACTTTAGCCAAAATTAAGGACTTTTAAGGACCAAAAATCGATTCCACAAAATCTAAGGACTTTTAAGGACTCTTAAGGACCGTACAAACCTGCAGAAATCCTTTTAGCTTTACCCATTAGATTCATTTTTCATATGTTAAAACATTACCACATAGAACATTTCAGAAAATTAATTATGAGATAAATTTTTCCAATGTTTTATATTATTACTACATTATTCACTGACCCTTTTTAGAGTTAATTTGAAATTCTGTTCAGACATTTATATACCACATATCTACATCAATACTTTTTTAACTCATGAAACATTCCACAGGATACAAACATTGTGTAACTTGATAATTGGTATCACTGACAATCATCTTTTTTAAGATTACCATCTCCAAAGAAGAAGGAAAACTGGAACCAGTGTTATTCCAAAACAGCCTCAAGATGGAACATAATAAATATATAAAATATTTTGGTAATATTCGGTTTTGAGGGCTGTAAAAAATTACCGCCAAACTATTGTTGATCCCAGTGCTGACAAAAATAATTGCAGCAACCCTAATGCAAGAAAGGAAGTACTATAATAGTAAATCAGTATCTAAGATTGATGTTTTAATTTAGATGAGGTTAATTTCATATAATACTTTTTATTATTATAATTTATATAAAAAAGGCTAAACATGACTGAATGGAAGCAAAAGAAGCAAATAACTATTCAGATCATTATTATAATTTATATAAAAATTGCTAAACATACTGAATGGAGCCTGCATCGCTATTCGCTACCGAGTTAGGCTAAAGCATAATTTCATCTCATTGTTGTTCAAACATAATTTTATAATGAATGATGCTTTTTCTTTGAAAAAATTCTCGTAAAGCAGAATCGCCCACTTATTTGTTTGCCGCTTTTACAGGGTAAAACAATTGGATTTTGTCAATTTCTTTACATTTAAGCAAAAATAGGTCCATGTTACATAGATAAGTCAAGGTCCATTTTTTGTGCAATTCTGGATTTTTTTTAAAGTTGAAATAGGTCGATGTGTACATGGATACGAGTATGTGCAATTCTAAAAAACACGTCAAGCAGTGGGCGATTCGCACTTTACACAAAATTCTATTGCAGACTTTTCATCATGGGCAATTCCCAAATTGTTAAATCCATAGGATATCAAAAAAGTTTTTAAAATCAAAAACGGATTTTAAAATTAAACTAGTATTTCAATGGCATCTTAAGAAATATAGAACTATATAAACTTATGCAATTTGAAATCAGTGCATACGCTAGATTTGGCGTGCAGTTTAAATGGGCATGTTTGCTAGATTTGGCACTTTTGTGCATACATTTTCGCTGAAATTTTTTTACAGTCCTCAAAACAGAATAGTACCAATATTTTTAACATGACTAACTGCACAGCTTTAGCTCAATTGCATGAATATTAATAAATTATGATAACAGTATGCAAAAATACAAATAAAAATGTTAAAATAATTCTAACCTTCTGGAGGGAGAATACAATTACATTCCACATATTTGGTTGGTTATTATTATTGCTAACTTTTCTAATCTCAAATTAAGAAAACTTAAATTTTGCATAAAAGCAGTAAAAACACATCAAAATCCATACCTTGTTCTATTTTTAAATGAATTAAAAGCATTTGAAAATCCATCATCATTTCCTCCTCCCCCAACTGTAATTAACACTTTAAGATGTGGATTCACATTTTTAAGACTGGTTGTTTCAAGATACCCTTTTTTATTTGCATCACTCCCCAAATCCAGAACACCATCAGTCACTGAAGCAAATCCAGCAATAATATGTGTGCATAAAGATGTGTTAAGACTTCTTGGTTCAGGATTAAATAAGGTATAATAACAGACTCGTAGAAGTTCAGGTTTCCCTAAATTAATTATAACAGTTAATAATAGGTAGTAAAGAATTTCAGAAAAACTCATAAAGGTAAAAATGAAAAAAATAAAAAGCACAAATTTTATTCAAATTAAAACACAACATATTGACATGACAAACTGAGTACAATAACATTTGTAATAACAGTACAAACTGTTCAAACTGAAACAGAGAATTTATTGATCAATAATACCACCTTAGAAAAATTAACAAATTATACTTAAAATTAATGTAGATTAATATATTTTAGCAAAACCTGTGAACCTTAGGCTGTGGGGGCTGAATGTAGTAAGATTAATTTGAAGTTCTGGAACAAAATGGAAAAACCCATTAATTGACTGGTGTGTAAGTAAAGATTTACTTAGTAATAATTATAAGTGTCGTGTTTGTAGGTAGGAAATGCATATGGTCGAACGTCGGAGGATACCGGCACTATGGAGGATATTTTTTACTGTTATTTTTGGGAATTTATGTGGCAGTGCCAGTATACAGATTCTAGTTCAGATAATTTTAGGAAGTTTTTTGCCGTTAAGGAATTTTGTTTGACTGAAGACATGGAAATTTCCTTTGCATAGTACTAAGATGAATTTCCTTTCTTAAGTTATTTTACTGTTTGATTTAAAATGTAGTTCATTGAGATTATATATTTTTTGTTGGTTGCTCCTTTGACTTTTTAAGTGAATATAGATCGATGTGTACATGGACAAAGTCAAGGGAGTGCACAATGCATAGTTTGTGCAATTCTCTTATGCTTCTTTAAGTGAAAATAGGTCGATGTGTACATGGATACCGAATTTGTGCAATTCTTTGACTTGTTATTTTAGATTTGTGTAGTGTAGCAGTTAAACAAGGCCAAAATAACAAGTTACAGAATTGCACAAACTCAGTGTCAATGTACCGCTAAAAATAACCAATTATTGCCAAAAAGCAACCATAAATATATTTTTAGCAACTGTTTTACTGTAAGCCAATTTAATAGCTATCTAAGTTACCTGAATTCTAATATGCAATACCTCCTGACTTGAAGTTTGTTTTGAAGCCTGACTTGAAGATCTAGATATATAATATTTTATTCCTTTAACTGATATACAGTCAAAAGTCATTAATTCGGACACCCATAACCAGACCTCAAAGCTACAAAATTTCTGTGCATGCGTCGCATTGACACATGCGCGTAAGACCTTTACGGCTGCAAATACGTGTGTGCACGTGTGCAAAATATGTTTACGAATGCGCGTTTAATGTATAACGGATGGTATAAGCTAAGCTAAAATTATCTAATTCGATTAATGTTGATGATTGTGTTGTTCCTTAATCTTCGAATTGGATTCGGCTTATTATTTTTTGCAGACTGTTAGAGCAATTTTATAAAAGTAAGCTTGAAATTTCGATTATGTCAAATAGAATTTCTGATATATATTTACTAATATGTAAATATGTAAAGGATTAATATGTAAAGGATCTACAAAGCGAAAATATGTTTCGAAGTCCACTAAACAAAAAGTGGAATTGCTGCAAAAAATGGATAAAGGCATATCCTTTGTTTATCTAAACTCTGTTTATCTGTAACGCTGCAGCTCGCAATGAATTGGAAGTTGATCTGTCAGCACTATCCTTATCTTCAGGGCAGATGTTTTTATTTTATTTGGCTTATAATTCCTTATTAAATGTAGTATTTTATCTCGATGTACTCCATCTTTGATATGATTTAAATCAAATTTCTCGTCATTATAATTCGCTTCCGATAGCAAAGAAAGTAACAGAGGTTATTGAAAACGAAAAAATTCGATAGACAAATTAGTCGGTATTTCGACACAGCAATTATAGAACTTGAACAGGGAACTTTTAACTGAACAAGCTATTATGTCTGTTTATAGAATTTAAGAGAATGTATTATCACATAAAAAAAACGAAGCAACTTAAACAACTTACATTGAAGAAATGTTTAATAAAATAAACAAATAAATATTAAGCTTTTTTTTTTGAAATTTTGATACCCTTTAGATCATAATTGTTCTTTATTTCATAAATTACGGTTTCATATTTTTAATTTTATAATTTCTGCATGCCATCTTACCAGATTTAAACTGATGATATATAATCCGGAAAATCGATAATCCGCAATCACACCGAAGTCCTGATGAATCCGAATTAACGACTTTTGACTGTATCAGACGATAGTGACAAACATTTCCATTTAATGACTATAATAAAAACAAAGTTTTAAAGCTTTTTTTAATTCTAATTTATTTTCCAGTTTCTTGGGTCAATGCTTTCAGATGAAATTTTGAAAATTTCTTCCAATCTGGCATTTGTTGCATTAATTTTGATCAACACTTGATTTATTTACTCCTAAGCACTCTTTTGAATCTGGCAGCATATTTTCACTTGGCAAGTGCTTGGTATTTCGTTAGTAAGTGCTGTCATTCTAACTTTTCTGTTTATGTTCTATGCAGCCAAACCATATACAGTCAAAAGTTGTTAATCCGGGCTCGTCGGGATTTCGGCAATTCCGGATTATCGATTTTTCCAGATTATACATCATCAGTTTAAATCTGGTAAGATGGCATGCAGAAATTATAAAATTAAAAATATGAAACCATAATTTATGAAATAAAGACCAATTATGACCAAAAGGGTATCAAAATTTACAAAAAAAAAGCTTAATATTTATTTGCTTACTATATTAAACATTTCTTTCAATGTAAGTTGTTTAAAGGTCGCTTCGTTTTTTTATGTGATAAACATTCTCTTAATTTATAAAAGACATAATTTCTTGTTCAGTTACAAAGTTCCGTGTTCAGTCCTATGCTGTATCTACCGACTAATTTGTTAAATAAATTTATTCGTTTTCAATAACCCTGTTACTTTCTTCGCTATCGGAAGCGAATATAATGACGAGGAATTTGATTTAAATCATATCAAGACGGAGTACATCGAGATGAAATACTACATTTTAAGGAATTACAAGCCAAATAAATAAAAACATCTGCCTGAAGATAAGGATAGTGCTGACAGCTCAACTTCCAATTCCTTGCGAGCTGCAGCGTACAGATAAACAGAGTTTAGATAAACAAAGGATATGCTTATCCATTTTTTGCAGCATTCCACTTTTTGTTTAGTGGACTTCGAAATATACTTTCGCTTTGTAGATCCTTTACATATTAATAAATATATATAGAAATTCTATTTGACTAATCGAAATTTCAAGCTTACTTTTATAAAATGCTCTAACAGTCTGCCAAAAAATAATAACCGGATCCAATCGAAGATTCAGGAACAACACAACTGCAACATTAACTGAAATGATAATTAGATAATTTTCGTTAGCTTAAACTGTCCGTTATACATTAAACATGCACTCATAACGGTTTTGCGTACGCGACAAGCATATTCGCAGCTGTAAAGGTCTTACACGCATGCGCAGAAAGTTTGTAGCTTCAAGGTCCGGATTATAAATTCCGGATTATGGGTGTCTGAATTAACGACTTTTGACTGTATATATGTTCAGAAATATTAGTCTTGATATTTTTAAGTAAAAAGTGTATCTTGGAATGTCATGAATTACATCAAAAAGTACCTCTAACTCATAGTTTTTTTTTTTTTTTTTTTTTTTTTAATTTCAAAGTTTGAGACCAGATCCTTGGCCACTTGAACGGTTAAGTAGGAGTCCATTAAAATGTGGCCAATGAGATTAACAAAAGAGTGTCTTTCTTTTCAATATCTATACTAATTTTTAACAAATTATGATCATAATCAGTGATTTAATAGGGGAAAATGATTAAAATAAAAATTTAGATTAATATCACTGATATTCTGAGTTCTGGAGAATATATGCTTGGACAAACTTTCACCTGGAAAACTGCGGTTTAATCCTTGTATACAGAACACACAGGATTTGGCGACATTATGATGAACAGTAAACATACTTCTATTGTTCACAGCTGAATTATGCTGCCTATATTATGCCAATTCAAAATTAAAAAAAAAAAAAAAAAAAAAAAAAAAAAAATTTGATTGTTCACTTATTTACAACTGCATCTAAATGAAATAATTTTAATTTTGTAACATATACTGAATACAATAAAAATACTGGTCGGTAATTCTGGACTGTTTTTTATAATAATAAAATTAAAACTAGATTTTATGATATGAATGAAAAAATGCGAAAATGGTATAATATAAATCATCAATCATAAAAAATAGAAAAATTACTATATGCAGAATTCAAAAAACTAGATGACTAAAATACAGACGATTAAGTAGTTTAGTGTAATAAATAACGTACTATCACAATTTTAGTTTCTATTTCTAAAATACATAAAATAAAAAATTGATTATTTTATGTATCACCACCATTACAATTACTAAAATGTAAATGAATTATTATTCGAAGTGTCAGAATCAATTTCCAACAATCGACATAAAGTTAAATAAAAACTCTTTGTACACAAATGGTATCTCACAGAATAATGAAAAATAAAAACAGGATTTTTTTTCTTTTGGAAAAAAAAAAAAAAAAAAACACTTTCAATTTTTTTTTTAATTTCCGGAAGAAATGTAAATGTTATATTTTTATAATAAACATTACTGAAGGCGAGAACGCTCTTTAGGCAATGACTTTGGCATTTTTGTTCTTAGTTCTATTATTTGTAACCTCTGCCTATAAGATTTTAGTTCTTCGTAACTTTTTCCCTAACCATTGCAAATTGAAAAAAAAAAAAAAAAAAAAAATTCACGTTACTAAGAATACAGTTAAAAATGAATTATGAATTATGGATAAAATAAAAATGTAACCTTGCAGAAAATAAAGGTATTTAATAACAATTCAAAAAATAATTTTATAATATTGAAAGAAAGGAAACATACCTTTCCCTCTAAGCTGATTCAATGCAGGTACGCACAAATATAGAAGAAAAAATAATTCTGCTAATTTCATTTTAACATTTGTGTTACACAGAATAAACAGAGAAATATCCGCTGCATCGATGTTTTCAAATATTAATATTTGTTAACAGAGAAATTACGCAAGTTATTTTTTTTAGATAATCAGCGATAAAATACATAACTTTATCTTGCTTTTGATCTAAAACGAAGATTCACTTTCACAAGAAAACCTAAATCGGAGTAAACAATACAATTTTATCAAATCCTACATCAAGTTTTATTTTCACGTCGCATATTTAGCGTCGAATTCATAAATGCAACTGCATTAAATTTCCTCGTAATGTAGGAACACCACGGAAAAAAATCTGCAATTGATATGTCAATCATTTTAAGGAACCAGGATGATTTCAATTTTTCGCAGTGTGTGAACAAATTATTACTTTCAGCAGTATTAGATAAGAAAATTTCAGTAGCGTGACTTAATTATCTGAAGTCCATTTTTTCAAGAACAGAAAAATTTTTCCTGAATAATAAAATAGAAAGTGTTTTATCTTTGGTATTAACAAACTAGATAGCAATTTGGCCGCAATGCTAAATCACAAGCGTCTACGGAGAGAAGGCAACTTTTGGGATCATGAATCTGATCCTCCCGTCTTACGCGCATCTCAGTTTGCGCATCATGTGACGTTAACAGATACGTCAAAAATGTGTCTGTTTACATTTTGCATTTGACTTCGTGCGTTTTATGCTTCGTTAGTATGTGAATTTTGCTTTCACATATTTATAATGAACTGAAGAATCTCTCAATAAAAGACCCTTCTCACGGCCAAATACTTAGGAATATTGTGAGGATTCTGCTTCAGAATATTAGAATATATAGCACCAATTTAAATGAGCTGGGTGGTGATATCAATGATCATTCAAGACAATAGATCTGAAATTCACATTTCCGCTTTGATTACGATTGGTAACATCTTTCAGAAAACTGTAATTTCAAAATCTTACAACTGTTCTATTTGCAAAAAGTGTTTTTCAAATGCCAGCAATTTATAGCATCATTTGAAGAACATACATTCCAATAAAAAGCATATTTCTACTGCTGAAATATTTAATTCCAATTCAGATCATGCATTTTATAAAGTCGTCAATGGTAATTCGATTTCATATACTTTTGCTTCAAAATCCAGTATAACTTCAAAAAAGTTTTAGCTGCCCTGATTCCAAAAAAATGTTTCTCAAGTAACAGCAATCTAAAATGTCACTGCATGAAATTGCATATATCACAACAAACAACATTACTCAAAGCAAGTAAAAATAAAGTTTTCCAATTTAAATGCAGTTTATATAGTCGTCAGTTCAACAATAATAAAAATTTATTATTTTCACAATCAGATAGTGCATTTACTGCCCTTGAGTGTTCATCATTAAAAAATTATATAAATGCACATTATGTAATGAAGGTTTTCCAAAGGAAAACTTTTCATTACATTTGCAAATGGAACATGAAATAGTCATTGAAAAAGAAGAGAGAGATTTCTCTGTGTTTAATGATTTCATGTTGTGAAAGGAGAATTTTGAAATGGAAACATAATCTAAATTTTTTTAATTTACAAAGAAACATGACCCATTACATGTAAAAGATATTTATTTTGTATGCCATCATTCAGGACATTATTTTATATCTAAAGTGCAAGGCATGGGACATTTAAAAATACAAGGGAGTAACAAAATTAATGCTTATTGCCCAGTAAGCCAGTTTAATAATGGAAAATGTACTGCTTATATAGAAAAAACCCATTGTAAGTCATAGAAAGGGTATAGGGCATCTGTCTCTTACAAAATTAGAACGGCAGTTATACCATTCTAATGTTAATTTATGTAACTTAAATTGCTGGAAAAGTATCTTTTGATGAAATTTTAGATAAAATTCAAGATTCTGTATATGATACTGCATCTTTTGACAAAGAATGATTTATGGAATATTGAAAATTCGGTACTCTTCCGTTATCAGAACCAGAATCAGAAATGTATGCATGTATGGCTGGATGGATGTGTTCATGTATGCATATATATGTGTACATATGAATGTATACATTTCTGAATCTGGTCCCAGTAACAGAAGTGTACCGAAAATTCTTATAATCCACAATCAAATGCTGTAAGGCATAAAATGATGATAAATGTTAATGAAATGGGGTTAATGAAATTACTAGTGAGGATAACAACTCTATTTTTATTTTATAAGCCTTAAAATAGAATTTTAGAAAGTTATCCTGAATTTTAAAATGATGATTTCACATTAATGAAAATGAATGACTCCCAGAGGCACTTTCTTCAGAAGTTGGGATCAGACTATATATGTATAAATGGTACACATAGGTTGAACGGTTACAGAATTGAATTAATCACACTGCTTTTACTTGATGCTTTGCTTCACGGCTTTCCCTGTGCATTTATTATTACAAACAGAACTGAGCAGGAAGTTTTGTCTGTTTTCTTTGCACATCTGAAAGATAAAGTATGTCAGTTAACACCCGAAGTATTTATGAATATGAATACAAGCTAGTTTTGGCTCACCAGCGGCCGAACGGACGCTGGTAGTTTGGTCCGAGGTTCAAGTCCCTCAAACGGGCTGTCTGCATGGGCATTTCCATGTTTTTCCCCATGTGTAATGTGTATACGAGCCAGTTTCCCTTAGAATGTCCTCCACAAAGGCATCCCTCCCCTTAGGCAGATGGCCATCAAGTGCTTTGCCATAATAAAATAAACCAAACCAACAAACTAGTTTTGATTAAAAAGTCTTCCATGAAGGTATTTCTTCCCCCACATGATCTTTGCCATATTCCAGTTCCAACAATCAAATCAACACATTGTTATTTAACTACTTAATTTGAAGATTTTTGGGCCCACCAGCGGCCGAGCGAGCGATAAAGTCGCTGAACACTAGTAGTTCGGTCTGAAGTTCGAATCCCGTGAACGGGCTGGCTGCATGGGCGTTTTCGTGGTTTTCCCCATGTGTAACGTGTATAGGAGCCAGTTTTCCATAGAAAGTCCTCCACGAAGGCATCCCTCCTCTTAGGCAGATAGCCCTCGAGGCTTTGCCATAATCACACGCACACATTTTGAAGATTTTATAGCAGATTATGAAATATACAATATTATATTGATGCAAAAATATATTTTTTACTCAATTCTGGAGGAGGGGGCAAGTGTTCATTTTCCCGTTTCCTGCAGATTCCTACAGTCTAGCATTTTCAAACCTAAAACATGATAACCCTAAGTAACATATCACCATCATTGGTACGCATTAGAGCAAACAGATCACTAGAATTTGCATATCTTCTATGTCTATTTGCTTCAATATTAAATCAAAGTCTGTAATAGTTAATGTGAAAGGCTTGAAATAAAGCAGTATGCATGATTGTTTAGAGCTCATATTAGCAATATCATTATTGTTTAGAGCCTGTTCTCTGGAAGTAATTTACAGACTTGCTGGGAATTTTATTAAAAATGATATACTTTTCTGTAGTTGCTGCATAAAAAGTAAAAGCCGTGTGTTGGCCATCCCTGGTGTAGGACGGTAAGGATAAAAATTGCCTTTCTCTCGACATGTTGCAATGCAGTGAATATAACTGAGCTTTAACTTCAAATATCTTGAGTTATACTTTGTGCAGCAAATGAATGACATATGTGTGTTATCCCTGTTTCATTCTTACTTTTAAGCAATTCTACTGCAGAACGTAGCTTGAGAGTTATACACCAGAAATATGAAATACTTGTCAGCTGGACTAACACCACAGATTTACACCAGTGGACAGGGCCGTCCCTAGGCCATTGGCTGCCTGTGTACTTTCCTAAGAATACAGTGCCCAAATTTAAAAAAAAAAAAATTCTTAATGATTAGTTGAATTTTTATTTCATACTCACTAAGTACTTATATGTGACAAATTGTATAAAAAGTATTTACATGTGACAAGTACAATGAATTAAAAATATTTAGTCGTGGTATCGCGAGTGTTCAGCTGTTGCATAATTTTACAGCTGCACCGCGCTAGGAACGGCCCCGACAGTGGAAGATAACCATGTTCAAATCATGACAAAATTACTTTGGCAACAACACAATCAACTGGCTATTAAATTGCTGGTGAAGGTTACTTATCAAGTTCCTATAATTAATAAATATCCTTATTCAGGACTTAATTTCTAAACTTAGAAGTGCCAGAACCCTATGCTAAACTGTCAGCAAAGGGGAAGAAAAGTAAATAAATAAATAAAATGACTGTTACAATCATTAATAATTTAAAAATTAAATAGTTAATTAATACCAAATTAATTCATTATTATTTAATTAATATTAATAATTATCAATTATTTTTAATTAATGATTGTTATTTAATTAAATAAATTATTATTAAAAAAGCTAAATTATTAAAGTAATTAAAATTAAGTAAAATGTAAAGAGATAAATTAAAATTTAATAAGCGATTTGTAATACAGTTTTACTGCAAAAAATTAAAATTTTTGAGATCAAATTTTTGTTCAGTTGCATAAAAGAAGTGCCGGAGCCTTTTTATTTAGGTCTCCGGCTATATTTATGATTTATTCCAAAAACTAAGAAGTACCGGAGCCAGGCTCCGGTGCAATTTAAGCTCTGTCTCTATTAACTTTTTAATAAACTTACACATTTAGTCATTATGAATATCTTAAACTTCCATTAAGTTATAAGGTTATTCTTGGTCTAATAATGGAATTTTAGTCTTATAACCCTAATATAATTATCACTTGAGATATTATGACAAAGCTTTATGAAAGATTTTAAAACAACCTTTTTATTTAAACTGAACTTTTAACAAAACAGAGCATGGCCTGAACTTAGAGCATAACCACGGCTAGTGGCGATGCAAATAAATGCGAACAATCAAATAAATGAAAAATGTTGATCAGTAGTCTAAGACTACATAGTTAATTATTAAGCTAGCCACTAATTTACTGGCACATCAGATTAAAGTATCGGTGGCATGAGAACACAAAGCTGATACTTTTAATTATACTAGAGCTGGAAGAATCTGACCATCCAACACAGATGCCAGAAACACTCTCTAAAGATCCAAAATCCTCAATTTAAATAATGGAGGTAGAAATAAGAGGAGAGGTCTTAACTGGTTTTCCTCGTGTACTGCCCTGAAGCAGTAGTGCACCTCTCGTGGAAACCAAACTATTCAGTGACTATCCATTAAGATCAATAGGTTTTAACATAATCGGCGGTAAACATTTTGTAATTACATCGTAAATATACATATAAAATATATATATTTCTTTTTCCGTAATACTTCAAAGTCATAAGTATGTAAAAAGAAAATATTTTAAAACAATGTTTTATTCTGAGCGGAATTAAATGCTATACTTTCCCAGAAAAGTTTAATTTGAATGAAATATTTTCACAAGTTCTTGTTAATTACATTACAAAGAAATTTTAAGTTAATTTGATTTTATTTGG